CCAGACACATACAATCATATTCATTTACAGTACAAACATGCATACACATACATACACACATACATATATCCATATACATAAACACATCCACATACATATATATCCATATACATACATACATACGAACACACCTACACACACATACATACATATGTCTACACACAGAAATATCTACATACATGCATACATACACACACACATACACACAGACGAATATACAGTATATACATACACATGTTTGCATTCAGTGACCGTCAGAAACCCCAGGATCCAAATGTCTATTTTTGTGCAGTTGTGAACATGCATATAAATACAAGTTTTCTCCAGTGAAATATTTAATAGTGACTGCGGAGGACCACAGACTGGACCCCCAAGACCAAATGCAGACAAAAGGGGGGACCAGAGCCATAGACCCCGAGACGGACCCCAAGCGCTGAGCCCCCAAAGGGCACCCGTGCAGAAAGAAGCCCATCCCACCCCCCAGAGAAGAACACAGGAAAGAACCAGAAAAGCCCCACAAGCAACCACACGCAGTAAACCCCCAGGGCCAGCAGTGACGATCTCACAGGCCCCACCGGCCCCCGCCACACCAGAACAGATCCAGGCATGGACACAGAGACCCGGATCCGCAGGACGCACCCCCCGCCCAGGCCAAGGCCCAATGGGTCTAGAGGACCCAAGTCCCACCATGCAGCCACCAAGCCGAGCCGGCACATGCCCAAGCACCCAGCCCCAGACATTGGGAGCAACCAGCGCACCGGTGGGCAAAGGTACACCCCAACAGAGGGCAGCGCAGCTGGGGGGTAAAGCCCACCACTAGCAGTGGGCCCTTAGGTGAACCAGAGGAGAGGGCAGTGCGAGTCCCAGCCTGACAAATACCCAATCGTAAACAAACACACTCACACAGTCCCATCCTCCTTCTTACACCCACTCATTCAAAGACAAACAAGATGAATGCCACACCCCACTCACCTTCCCGATACACCTTCTATACTCCCCAGATCCAGGACACGTACCCGCCCCCTACAGAGGGCATGTCATGCACGAAATCAGGGGGTAATCCCATTCATACTGGGGTGGTGAAGAGCAGACAGCCAAGACCCGGCTCAGGTTGCACCAGGTAAGCCGACCAGCCCCCCGCCGCAGCGAAGCAACACCCCCAACCACCCCCACACACCGTCGACGGCCAAGCACACACCCACAGCCGACCACCAGCCAGGCTCCGGCAGCCACCCCAGCCAGCAGGCCAACCACGGTAACTAGGGGCCACAATCCAAGAGCCCAAAGACAGACTGCCAGCCACCCCGCACCCCCCAACGCCTCGAGTCCATTTGTAGTCCAGGCCCCCACCAGACGGTCCACCCCTTCACTGAACCCCACCCCCAGATGACAAACAGAGAGCAGGGAGGTCAAGAAAAACAAAGACCCCAACACACCCACCCCCACCTACAGATGTGCTGCTGATGTGTGTTGTTCTAAAGTACAATAAAAATGGGCAGGGAAAATGGGGCAAAGGCCAGCATTGAGCCAGTTTTCCCTCCACCCTAACTCCAACCCAAAAAACCCTAAATGTCTATGAGCAACCCTTGGGGTTGGACACAGGTGTCACTGGCGAGAGTGGTCCCCTCTCGCCCTTTGCCTGTCATAGAGTGCCCACCCCCATGTTCCCTATATGTGAATGTCATGAGGATAGAATAATTCCTTTTTTAAATGTACTGTCACTGAGAATTTTATACAGCGAGTAAAATAAGTATTGAACACCGCACCATATTTCTCAGTAAATATAATACTAGAGGTGCTAATGACATGAAATGTTCACCAGATGCTGGTAACC